CACCCCACTGGTAGACCTCCCTGCTCTTCCCCACACCCCACTGGTAGACCTCCCTGCTCTTCCCCACACCCCACTGGTAGACCTCCCTGCTCTTCCCCACACCCCACTGGTAGACCTCCCTGCTCTTCCCCACACCCCACTGGTAGACCTCCCTGCTCTTCCCCACACCCCACTAAATACATTGTACATGTAACAGCATTGGAAAGGAAAATGAAGACAAGAAAATTTAATACCTTTAGAATTTAATAATACTGGATCATCTCTTCACTGGGATTTTACCAATACAATATACTTTTCAAATGGACCAAGTAAAAGCAACATTTATGTCTACAACATATATGAAATCGCACCCTTCACTCCTTGCCAATACCTGCATGCATTCCCCACACATGGCAGAAGGTGTGCCCTCCACAACATTATCTTCCTCCACAATGGAACAGAAGGTGTTAAGATTTGACATTATATGAATCAGTGTGTCCTATTGTGTTTTCTGACATGCTGAGGACAGCTTAAGCAATATTTTTTCTAGTGGTCTTGACATAATTGTATTAAAAGGGAGGGAAAAACAATGTGCATTCTAATGCCTCCAAAAATACTAGTCACAGGCTGAACACAGATACTTGGACTGACATTGAATGGTCTTCTAATACATATATTATTGCCTTCTGATTCCACAAATAGAACTTGCATACAATTCTGACAATCGCAAGAAAACTTGTTTTCCTAAAGGATATTCCTTGCCAAGTCTCTGTTGTGTTCCTCTCACACAGTTGTACCTGGTTCAAATACAAAACACATCAGATTCCAAACAGACTTCCAACCTGCACTTATACTGTCATAGAGTATGTTGAATCTGTAGTACTGTATATCTGATACCTCTGCTCAATTTACAATCAGTTTGTCATTGTTAAGATCACAGCTGGCTATAGTAAGCATGAGTGTAATTTCATCCCAAAACATATTTATGAATCGAGGTATATTTAATGACTAAAAAGTGTAAGAAACATTTTTCACACTTGAACTGTGGAGCGGTATGAAATATCAAGAGACAACAAGACTAGTTCTTTGCTGAAGCTGGTCTGAAATTTATCTTTATTCTTGATCCTGACTGACAATATTACTAAATGTCTTTTAAATGTGGGTTCCATTTTAGTTTTTTTCATTTAAAGAAGACTCAAAAACAAATACGGATCAGCCCATGACCCCACATAATTGCTAATGTAGCCTGTATTCAAGATACCACCTGAGTCATTGGACATCCTGAAATCTTTTGTGTCTCGTGTTTAAAAATATTTTAATTTTACCAGCTGTTGTCAGAGGAATTTGTACAAATCATGCTCTAGATATAAATACGGCGTCCATTAAAACAACACAATGTTTGGGAGCATCGCTGAGTAGGATCATCATTAAAGGACATGGATGGGATAATTTAAACAAGTAATGTGCCCCCCTCCCCCTCCATGTAATGCGGTACAAGACGTGGTATTTTAGGACCTAAGGTTCAGGGTGTGTCACTGGATGTGGAGAGACTTCTTGACGACTGTGACGACGTCTTGGGGACCGGGAAGACTGGCTCGTTCCAAGGTGGCGGCGTACGGCATGGGGACGTCTGCTCCTGTTACACGGTACACCGGCGCGTCCAAGTAGTCAAACGCATCACCTTCATCACACAAAGGACATCGTAGATGAATTAGATGTAAGGACAGTTAAAATACAGAGCAATAAAGTTTCAGTCAAATGAAAATGCAGTGTCAAAGAGAAGGGCAAGTTGTAGAAGAGGTGGTGATACTATCAAGGCAACAACATGCCTCAAACTACACTATAGCAACCAGGTTAGGATCATTTCACGATTCAACTCTTAAGCATAAACACAAGCCATGAACAATCCACAAGTTTGCCATGTTACTCACTTTCCATGATCTTTGCCACGATCTCGGCCCCAACACCAAACTGTGGCCAGCCTCCCTCCACCGTCACCAGGTGGTTTGTCTTCTTGACTGAGTTGATGAGGGTTTCCTCGTCCATGGGTCTGATTGTGCGCAAGTTGATCACCTGCAAACAAACAGCAAAGGAACTTTTGAAGTCTGGAATCCCTATTTTAACTCCAGTTTGCTCCAACAGTCACTTCCCAAGAAGTACAGTTTTCATAAATAATTCTTTACAGCATTTAGATTCACTGAGAGGATACTTTACAATTCAATGTAATCATACAAAATGGAGAAACTGAACATCATTAGGGATCTGATTGCAAGCCATTTACACAAGATGGTTTTTCTTACTTGAACTATAGGATTGTCAGTGAACAGTACACAGTGAACCTTCACTTCGCCTTGGCTCAAAAAACACCTGCATACTGCAGTGGTTAGAGTTACTCTTAACACACCTCACAGAAGATGTTTTCCTTCTCCAGGATCTGAGCTGCCTCCAGACATAACCCCACACTTTTGGAGTGGGACACCAGGGTACAGTGGGTGCCTAGTAATGGAACAGAAAACAAGTTTGGTGCCATGTCTACCACACAAGGAGGCAGTGTTTGAATGTGGCTACACTAATAGTAAAAAACATTAATTTCATTTACTTCCATTGTGATTTATTTTGCAGTAGGAGAGAAAGGGAGGATTTTAAAAATCTTGGTGCACTCACGGCCAGCCAAAATTAGATGCACAGCTCCAATTTTGGGTCCACAAAGGTGCATACCCACCCAACATTAATTTTCAAGCCCTGAATAGGGACAGTATGTTTAAATTCATAGAGTTGAGACTTGGCTAGCACAGTGCACATTCCAACTCAAGAAAATGGTGGGACAATTACTAACTACGTTCGGGAAACTAGTGTATTTGTGAGGTAACATTGTGATATGGCAGGTTTGCATGTTATTTCCCTACCTTCCCTCTCAATCTTTGCCTTGCCGATGGGCACTAAAAAGTCCTCCGACATGGCTTCCTCTGACATCTCAAATGCAGTCCCATACATCAGCTCATTCTCCAGGCACACAACTGCAAGGAAACGGGCACATGTTAACATGGACTTCAGAGTCACTTCATAACCCTTATCCCTTACAATTGTATTGCAAACTCTTCCAGAAACTTGTACTTCACATTTCGCCCCTGCTCACCGGGGTTGGGGTCCCTGATGGCAGACTTGAGCAGTCCCTTAGCGTCCTCTGACGAGTACGGTGAAACCACCTTCAGACCGGGACAGTGGCCGTACCAGGCAGCGAAGCACTGCGAATGCTGTGCCGCCACCCCGGCTGCCGCGCCGTTAGGGCCTCGGAACACGATCGGTACAGTTTGCTGTGGAGGAGAAACAGGTAAACATCAGCGCTTACACCAAGATACTGCATGGCATATACATTGAACCTTCAGGGCTCGAAAAACCACCTGTATATGCAGGTCATTGCAGGAAACTTGGAGATGCTGATGTCCACCTGCACCTAACCTTCTATTTACTGGGTTTGTATATAACGTTATATGTAGTAGGTGTACATATGTATGTACTTTTTATTTGCTGCATTGACTGTTACCACACAATTTAGCACTTAACAGAATGTGTTTATGTGTTAAATAACAGAAGCATATCAGGATCTGAGCTGTACTATTTCTGATTAGTCTATGACAAAGCAGGTTCATTAGGATATTCTGTAACTGATTTATGCAGGAGACACTGACCTTTCCTGCTGACATGTAGAAGGTCTTTGCCGCTGAGTTAACGACCTGATCGATGGCTTGCATGGAGAAATTAAAGGTCATGAATTCACAGATGGGCTTCAGGCCGGCCATGGCTGCTCCAACTGCTATCCCTGCAAAACCCATCTGCAGGAGACAATTTCAATTCAATTTCAATTTTATCAAGAACAGTCTACATAGCAGGGGTACGTAGTACTCCTGAATTGTGTGGACTTTACATAAGTATAAGAAATGCACAAGGCAATTACATACAAAAGTGGGACATGAAACACTAGAACACTAGGTCTGCGTTTGGCTATTGTACAATCTGATTGTGCAGTGGAGGAACGAGTTGTACAGTCTGTTTGTCCGTGCCTTGGGCACCGTGATTCCCCCAGAGTTCCTCAAACACCTCCCTGTGCTGTCCGACCTGGCTCCCGGTACCAAATCATGTAGTGGGTGGTCAGGGCTGAGCATGCGCTTGAGCAACTTGACAGCCGCAAGTTCCCGTCTTTCTCGGAGTGTAGGGAGGTCGGGAACATTCCTCCTTCCCCCCAGAGAGATGATCTTCAAGGTCTGCACTCTCGAGAGAGACAGTTCCTGTTTCTTACTACAACCCACTAGGAGCACATGGCCGTACTCCAGCACAGGCCTAACAAGGGCTGTGTACAACTGGATGAGGTCAGAGACACTCATTCCTTGTTTGGTGAGTAGTCTAAGGAAGTGTAGCCTCCGTGAGGCTTTCGTCACCATCGAGTTGACCTGCTCGTCAAAGGTAAGACCCTTATCTAAGATAAGACAAGGGTGCAATTACCATTTACACACTTATTTGTTGGTGGGGTGTAAAAAATTTTTTTCACTTTTCTTAACCACAAATTAAAATAGATAGATAGCATATAAACATCACATAAAGAGACAACCAAATGATGAAGATGACCTCTGTGATTGGGGTGTCCATTACTCTCCTGTCTCCATACTTTCTCCACAGGCCTCGGCTGACCTGAAGAAAAGACAGAAAGGATGAACATTTTCATCATACACCAGATGCATACTAGTATTACATCTTGGCTTCAAAGCTGGTTCAGATATTTATATTCTTTAGACTGTTGTTTATTTACACAAACACATTAACTAGCACTAGTAGCAGGCAGATGTGTGCTTTTCATATCATCTGGTCATAAAATCATCTTGGCACAGTCACACGATCACACTACAAATGTATCCAATCCCTAAATTAAGTTTGTAAATTAAATTGTATGATGTAAAGAGGATGTTGATTTCTGACCTTGTAAGCTCCGTCGTACTCTGCCACCTCCTCTCCTAGGAGGAAGACTGACTCATCCCTCTTCATCTCTTCATTAATGGCAGTGTTCAGGGCATCTCGTACTGTCATCTGCACACAGCAATACAATGTCTTGTCATGCAAAATCCCTTTTTTGTCCACTTCATTGTACATCTGAAAGTGATCTAATTTCAACTAGATGCCCTTGGAAATCTGGGCCATTTTGATACTAAAAATATTGACATTTTTGTAGTGTTCCAACTTGAGGTAATGAACAATGTCACATGTGACTAGTTTAAATGTGACATTAGCTGCACCTAGTATGTACTACTAATTTTACTATGTCATTCAAAACTGTTTGCAATGGTAGGCGTGGTGACAGTGTTTTCCAGCAATACACAAATTGAATTTAGATATCATCATTCTTGTTCTGCTGATCACTATAGCTACAAAAGTACTAGCCGTGGCGACTCTTGATTCGGGCTTACATTGCATTACCCTCTTGCTGAGGGTAATGCAATGTAAGCCCGAATCAAGAGTCGCCACGGCTACAAAGAGCCTCCTACAAAAGTACGAGACAAGGTCGCCTCCCACCTGAGCGGCCACTGGTGATGACACGCTGAAATGGCGCTTCAACATCGATGTTGAGCACCGCTAGTGGGATGAAAAATAGAAGCAGGTCATTGTTGTGTTTCACAGACATCAGCCGGTCACGAAACATTGGGTATTCATTGAGAAAAAGACCACCAAGTCGAACTTACCCTCGCCAAAGTTTGTAGAGCCGCCATGTTTCGTCTGCTGATGTTACCCACAGTGCATCACGCCATGGAGTTCAGTTCCAGGTTACGCTAAGCCAGACATACGGACTGGTGCATTCTAAACAGGGATGCCCAAAACTGTAGATGTTATAATAGAATTAAATAAGGATAATAGTCTAAAAACCAATATACTCATAGTTATATAAATAAAACAAATATGTATTATATAATAGTGAATTGCTGTATTGTTCGCATTCTTTATAAAAAGTTTTAAGAAGTAAAAGTTCTTTCTACCCATATTAGCTATGGATACATCCATACGATGTAAGGTGCGTCATTCTTTTTATATCCACCAATCACAGGCTGAGCCGGCTGTGACGTATGAGCCCTCCTTCCTGTTCACACCGGGTGGAACGCCATATTGTATGTCGTAACCTTGCGGTGAAGGTTGAACTCTTCTGCTCGTTACAGAGGTTCATAAGGACTTTTGAGGACTCTTTTTCTCCTGGTAGCTCGCTAAAGTATTCCCGCAGAGTTCAAGATGTTTTCCTCGTTCCGAGACGTGGCAAAATGCAACCCTTTTTTCAGCCCGTTCCAGGCGCAGTGTGAGGGGAGGGCACCGGCGAAAGATGGCGCCCTAGTTCCAACAAGAAATCTTGGCGCGGCAGCGGCCGCCGAAGGTCAGTGGTTTATCGACTGGTAGCCATACTGTTCGTACAGTCGGGCACATGCGTGAAAGCTTTCATAGCCAATTCACAGGGATTAAATATATGCAAGAGATTTTATATCTGTTCTTTAATGCGTATGTAGGGTATGTAGCCGCCATGTTCCGTGGAGCACACGTGGAAATTTTTGGTGGAAACGCTCCCGTCCTCCAGTAACTAACCATGGTTCTTGCACTATTATAACCTGTGAATTTAAGCATTATGTATCTGTTGCATCTTCTCTCGATTTAACATGGGTAAACGGATACCGGAACTCATAGCTAGGTCACCTTTTACTGTGGGGTGACCGCCCAGTGCAACATGACCTGGCTGTCTGTCTATGACAAAAGTCCGACTATGTAGGTCGACTCACGTGGTTTTGACCGTAAACCTTATTGCAAAGGATGTAGCATGCATCTTGTACTATGTGTAGCATATTGTGTGTAGTATATTTCAGATAATTAAACGCATTTTGTAATGTTTCCTGAAATAGTTCTTATGTAAAGGTAAGATGAGGGTTCCCCCGCAAGTGACGTTGATGACGTCACAGAAGCCGGCTAGTTGTCTGATAAGTGAATGAGCTTTAAATAATTCCCAAATTAGTTTCTTCTAGACCTTAAGAAGGAAAAGTAGCCTTTTGAATTTAATTCCTATTGTTAATAATTTATATATATATATGCGATATGTAACAGTAACTGTTAGTCTCATATCTTACAAAATGAGATAAAGCTAATTCCTTTGTCTCTCTGTTGTTAGGAGACAGCTGTGAGTTTGGAAGTGCTAAGTACTATGCTCTGTGTGGTTTTGGAGGCATCTTGAGCTGCGGGCTCACACATACAGCCATCGTGCCTCTGGATCTGGTGAAATGCCGCATTCAGGTCAGGACAAGTCTTTAGACTCCTTACAATATATTTGAATATAAACTGTTTCAAATATTGTAGTAACATTTTCTAAGGTGATAGACTAATGACCACTTCAAATGGTGAAATTCTGTTTGCATTCTTTTGTTAGCTATGTAATATAAGATTCAGTCTCACTGTAATTAGTCCAACTCTAATCAAAATTTACTTGTCATGAAATGTACCACTGTAGGTACTTACTATGTCATTGTGAAATGTACCTCTACAGGTTGACCCAGGAAAATACAAGAACCTTGTGTATGGTCTGCGGCTGACGTTTAGGGAGGAGGGAGCTCGTGCCCTGGCCAAGGGTTGGGCCCCAACCTTCATCGGCTACTCTCTGCAGGGTCTGGGCAAGTTTGGCTTCTATGAAATCTTCAAGGTCTTCTATGGTGGGCTTCTGGGAGAGGTAAAGTTTCCACTTGTGTTTATAGTTAACTTAGTGTCAGAGTAGATATTTTTCTTCCTTGGTAGCTGTTTGGCACCAAGTTTGTGTGTAGGACTCTACTAGGACCTGTTTAGATACTGGTGTTTTTTTAAGTGTATATTTGTATATGTTGTTCTTTACTCGTGCTATGTATAAAAAAATGACAGAACATTCATGTTTCCTTTTTGTGTCGCAGGAATATTCCTACACGTACCGAACCTCCCTGTACCTGGCTGCCAGTGCCAGCGCAGAGTTCTTTGCCGACATCCTGCTGGCACCATGGGAGGCCACCAAGGTGCGTATCCAGACCATGCCTGGGTTTGCCAACACCCTGAGAGAAGGCTTCCCAAAGATCTACAACGCAGAAGGATTCAACGGGTAAGCGATTACTTTCCTGTCACAACTTCATGGTGTATTTGTGTTAGATTCAAATTTTGAAAAGGGGTTTTCTTGTGTCTCAGATTATTTCTTGTAACAGATAGCACCTTATTCATGCTGAAACCTCCCTCTCTCAACCCCTGTAGGTTGTACAAGGGCCTGCCCCCACTGTGGATGAGGCAGATCCCCTACACCATGATGAAGTTTGCCTGCTTCGAGAGGACAGTTGAGGCCCTGTACAAGCACGTGGTCCCCAAGCCCAGGGCGGATTGTAACAAGGCTGAGCAGTTGGTGGTGACCTTCGTCGCTGGTTACATCGGTAAGGCTTTGCCACATTCTATAACCTGTTTGGCACAGTGAGGCAATGCCAGGTGAAGTCTTGTCTTGAGAGCCATGGTCTGTGCTGTAATGTATGCAGTAGACCAGTCCCATTTCCCTGCCCAATTTGACAACATGCAGCCACTGTCTCATTGGTAGAACGGCTAATTGCCATTCTCTCATTGGTAGAACTGCTAATTGCCAGGACAGCCAGGCTTGTCTGTAAGAGCAGGTGCTTCAAACCTGAATAATTCCACACAGATAAAGCCAATAACAGCATAAATGTCCTACTGTGAGTTGCATGTGACCATTGTCTTTGTTTTTCCAGCCGGTGTGTTCTGCGCTATCGTGTCCCATCCTGCCGACAGCGTGGTATCCAAGCTGAACAACGACAAGGGCAGCACTGCCATCGAGGCTGCCAAGGCTCTGGGCATGAAGGGTAAGTCTCACCTCAAGTCACTCCACCTTACACAATACAGTAGTTCTCTCCAAGAAGTGTGTCAGTATGTAGTAAAACATAGAGTGGATACATTCCTCAGCTAACCAACATCTACCACACTTTCCAGATATCTTACTGAGGGATTTTGTGACAGATGTCGGTTAGCTTGAGGAATTAATCCACTCTACTTTATACTGCAGATAATATAGTCACTGTAATCATGAATTTTCTACTTCTCATAACTCTTGCTTTCACATCCTTACATCTATTTTCTCACCATTTTGCTTTTGCATTTGAGTGACTCTTTCATGGCTTTTCTTTCCATGCACATTGCTTGGTTTTCCTTACCACTTTCTTCTTTGAATAACCTCATGTACTTCTCTTTTGACTTTATTTTCTCTCTCATTTAGCACTGTTAACAACATTTCATCTCATGATCAGTACTTTTTGTATGGATATTAACCTATATTCGAATCATGTCATCCACCTTCCAACTGTCACCTTTATTCAACAATGACTTAGACTGTATTAACCCAACTGTCTTAAACACTTATTTCTCCTTAATTTATATCAATCTTGGAAAGCCTCAAGGTTTATTCTGAGAGGTTTATGAACATAAAAACAAATCCAAGAAAGAGTTTTAGTTTATTCAAAACCAGTTCAGGTTGTAAGTTTTGAGTACACACAAGGCAGTAGAAGGTTAGAAGGGTCTATGAGCAGATTGGAACAGTGCAGAAAAAAAAGCATCAAGAATTTTTTTAGTTCATTCATGTCAGGTGAGGAGAGTGTGCTTCATGTTAAGTCATGTCTGGCCTTGCTCATGTCCTCTGTCTACTAGTCTGGCATGAAATTTGTGCAAACATCTATAGGAATTAGCCCTTAATGAAAGTACAATAAGGACTGGTTTAGGAATGCAAGAAAACAGCTGGCAACCTATTTAGAAGTAGGTAGATGTTGCAACTGTAGTCAATTGCAAAACAGTGATTTTGTGATTGTTTGCTTTCAGCTTCAGTGTTTTGATGATACAACCGCATGTTATTTTCAGTTAGGTAACAATTTTGTAAAGGGTTGTCTCTGCCAGTTTTCTCTATAAATGAATTCAGCCAACAGAGCCATTGTCTGCACTTAATGTCTGTCAACACAGCTGATTTTTAGAATTTCTAAAATTGAACTGTTGTTTTTTGAGTTTCCTTCCTAACACTTGGCTTTCTTATGTTTGTGACTAGGCTTGTGGAGAGGCCTGGGCGCCCGTATCATCATGATCGGTACGCTGACTGCTCTGCAGTGGTTCATCTACGACAGTGTGAAGGTCGTCTTCCGCCTGCCCCGCCCCCCACCCCCAGAAATGCCCGAGAGCCTCAGGAAGAAGCTGGAGGCAGCTGGGAAGCTGTAAAGTACCAACCACGGAACCGGTGTGGACTGTGAACCCGACTTCTTCTTGTCCATTCTCTTGTCTTAAGCATATCTCATGTCTTGATGTCTCATGCTGTGATTTTTTAGGCTTGCAAGAAATGGTCAAGAAGAACTGTTCACAGGGAAAAGGGAAAAAAAAACTGATGTGAGCAAGTCTGAAGGGAAGAACAAATCTCATTTTTACCACTGGGATACCTACTATCAATCCTTTTTTTTACAAGTAAGCAGGATCAGGATGTAATCTGACAACACGAAACAGTAGTAAACTTGGGGAAAAGCTGCCTTAGGCAAGTCCCATCCACGACATGATACGTAATCCAAAGATAGACATAGCGAGTTTTAAACACCTTTCTTCCAATCCTGCTGTCTTGTTTAGAGTGAACTCTGTCCATGTACATTATGACCTTATTGACTAGACAGTTAATAGACAGTTACTCTTAAATGATGGAATTCAGTAGGATGAAGAAGTCATAAAACTGTCATTTTCATCAGGGGCATTTTAGCATCAACATAAATTTGATCAAAGTTGTAACTATAAATAAAAATCATTTTTATTCAGAGAGATGTAAAGATGTCCGGAATGGTGATATCCCCTGCCCCTTATCAGTATTTATGAAATACGACTTTATAGGAAGGCTGCTCTGAACCATGTTTGCTTTGATGATGTGACAATAAAGAGATTGGACAAGTGTGTAGATAACTGTATCCTTCATTTGTCATGGCTTTAGTCTTGCGATTCATGCATAAATCAGTTTACTCACATATTATACACTTTCAGAAGAAACATTGCTTATGTTCAGAATGGTACATTTTACACAGTTTGGTGATGAAAATTGCGTACAGTGACCACTCTCAAGGCTGCTGGAACGAAGTAAGTCTTACAGAAAAAAAAAGCAAGCTTACACTGACAGACACCCACATTTTACCACCATCTCAGTCATATTGACCAATAGAACACACCTATGGTGAGTGTGCATTTCCTTTCCCAGGTCTTCAACAAATGTAGCTCCCGAGATGTTCACAGACAGATATAGTAGCAGGTGTACCCATCCATGGAGCTTGAGGATTGTCAGGGCAGTTGCTGAACACAAAACAAGGCTACAGCATAACCTGCTTGTATTTTCCCTTTCAGCCTGACCTTTTGTGTATTTTTGTTGATGTTTGTTGTGATGAAATCCCATGTACGCAGGCTTGTGGCGGGGCCTGGGGGTGCGTATCCTCATGATCGGTACGCTGACGGCTCTGCAGTGGTTCATCTACGACCTGGTGAAAGTCCAGTTCCGCTTGCCGCGCCCGCCGCCACCCGAGATGCCGGAAAGTCTGAAATTGAAGCTGGAAGCTGCTGGCAAGGACATGTGATTGGTGCACCAGACTTACAGTGCACATGCCAATGTCAATCCTGAGGAGAAGGAGTAAGGGGGAAGTTAAGGATGAAGTACTATAAAATGTAGTCCTTTTCACCCTGTTAGCATTTCATTTGGGAGTTCTTTGTTGAAATGTGCTGCTTAGGGATGTGGTATATTAGTTACTGGGTACTATTACAAGCTATGATCTTGATGCGAAAGCTTGGCTCTGGAATGGGATAGTTACAGCACCAGAAGTCAAAGTTACCAAAAGATATTCTGAGTTTGAGAGGACAAAAGATGTAATGGTTGAAAGCAACCACATTTGATATGGTGTTCTACCCTGAATTTTTCATAAATTTCACAAAAATGTGAACCTGTAGATTTATTGAAATGGTAAGTTGAAGCAATGGTAATTGTATATAGTAGGTACGTTGGCATGTTAAGTGTATACTGATGATGTAGTAGTAAGAACTGTTGACAAATACAGAAATAAATCATACTGAACCTGTCTATTGCCTTCTGGTCATTAGTATTCTTGTGTGCATTGCATCAGCCTTTAGTTAGATCAAGAATGGGTATGTAGAGTAGAGTAGATATTCGGGTTTCCGGTTGGGGCAGCTCTATAATTTGTCGATCCGTAGGAAGAAGATTGCTTCCTAACCTGTTAATTGTTCTCAAATATAACCTAACTGGCATGCTGTAACTTCAGGGCACAATGTCAAACATAGAAATATGTCATTCCAAACATGTCATTTGGGATAGCTGTTGTGCAAATGTATATTGGGCCAGTCAGAGCAGGAATGCATTGGAAATCTTTTCAGCACCATGGCTAAAATGCTCTATGACAAAGTCTCTTCAGTACCATACGTGGGACGTTAAAGAATTCCAACATTGGTTTCAATGCATCCAAAGGAAAGGTTGTCCATCCATTACACACTTAGTACTTCTCCCAGGGAAGTTGTAGTATGGATTCATGCCGCTAGGGAGCGTCAGGTTATCAGTGTCCTTTGACCTGGAAGCATTGCTTCTACTATCGTCAAGCTTTCTGGCGTTTTTGTGCTGATTTCTCCGCTGTTCAGCCTTCTCATCGACGAAGCCTTTTGTGAAGAATGGCATAAACACCTCAGCGATCAAAGGTATGGTTTCTGTGTCTTTTGTAGTTGTGAAATTAACGTTAAGTCCTAGATACGTTTCTTTCGTGCACTTCCGGACACTTCTGTGCAGGGCGCATGCCCCGTAACGTCCTGTGAGAGACCGGTGTAGGGGGGGCAGCACTGCAGTCCAACCTTGGCCGTTTCAGCAAAGTTTTGCGTTTCAAAACCCTATTTAAGGTTATAGAAAGTGGAGTTTGTTACAGATATCATTTTCAACAACAACGAATTGCAGTAGATTGAAAGGACAGCACGAAAACGTGGCCATCAAACGTTGCCGGTTGCAGCGTAACTCGCACGTGTTGCGCAATAATTGTACAGTAACATCTGACCATCAACTGAAGAACGAACGGACAGTTCCACGATGCCCAGGTGTCACTACGAGGTGCTCGGCGTCCAAAGGAACGCCACGGACGACGATCTGAAGAAGTCCTACCGGAAACTCGCCCTGCGGTGGCACCCCGACAAGAACCCGGACAATGTGGAGGAGGCCACCGAAACTTTTCGTGAGATTCAGCAGGCGTATGATGTCCTGACCGATCCTCAAGAGAGAGCCTGGTACGACAAGCACAGGGAGGCTATCCTGAGGGGAGGGCTGGGGGAAGATTACAAAGATGACAGTGAGGACTTGATGCAGTATTTCAGCAGTGCGGTGTTCTCTGGCTACGGTGACGATCACAAGGGTTTCTACGCAGTGTACGGAGATGTGTTCAAGAAGATTGCTGAAGAGGATGCTCGATTTGTGGAACCAGACGAAGACGAGGAAAAGGCGCCAGACTTTGGAGCGCCTGACTCGGTGTATGAGGACACTGTAAGGCCCTTCTACGCCTACTGGCAGAGCTACTGCACCAAGAAGTCGTTCGTGTGGTTAGAAAAGTATGACACGAGGGAGGCGCCGAACCGACGGGTGGCCCGGCTCATGGAGAAGGAGAACAAGAAGTTCCGAGACAAGGGGAAGAAGGAATACAACGAGACAGTCCGGCAGCTTGTGGCGTTTGTGAAGAAAAGAGACAAGAGGGTCCAGGCGCACAAGAAGAGAGTGGAGGAGAAGTTAGCCGAGCAGGCCAGGCTGGCGGCTGAGAGGCACGAGCGGTTGAAGAGAGAGCAGGCTAAGGAGGTGGAAGGGTACAAGGAACAGGAGTGGATGTGTGCATCAGGGCTACAGGACGAGCTGGCCGACCTGGAGGCTCGCGTGGCACAGGAGTTTGGAGACAGCGACCAGAGCTGGGACGAGGAAGAAGAGGAGGAGGAGGATGGAGAGGGAGAAGAGGAGGAAGAAGAAGAAGAGGAAGTCTATGATGATCTCTACTGTGTGGCTTGTAATAAATCCTTCAAGACAGACAGAGCATTAGCCAATCACGAACAGTCCAAGAAGCACAAGGAGAAAGTGGCCATACTCAAGCAGCAGATGGAAGAAGAGGAGGAGGAGGTAACCATGGCAACAGAGGAGGCAGATGCCTCCACAGATACTCCTGATGTCGATGTTAGAGCAGGATCAGAAGAGGAGGAGCAGGCAGAATGGGAAGAGAACACTCCAAAGCCCAAACTTTCAAAAAAGCAGAAGAAAAGGAGGCGGCAACAACAGAGGGAAAACCAGCCTTTGGAAGAAGATCTACTCGACCAGTTAGAGGTAGAGCTAGAAAATGTGCATGTTGCCACAGACAAGGATAGCGAAGGTGATGTACCAGATGAAGAGCCTTTGCTAACAGAGGAACAGACATCTGAAAACTGCCCAAAGCCAAAGAAACTGACAGGGAAGAAAGCCAAGGAGGCCAGGAAAGCTGCTAGAGGAGCAAAAGGATCGTCACAAAGGGACACTCCCAAGGACGTGCCCCAACCTGCGACTGTTTGTAATGTGTGCATGCACGAGTTCGCCACCCGTAACAAATTGTTTGATCATATCAAGTCCACAGGACATGCCTTACACCTGCCTTCCCAGCAACAACCCAGGGGGGATGGGGGAGGGGAGCAGGGAGGGAGGAAGGGGAAAAGGAAAGGAAAAAGGCAGTAGCTCGTCTAGTGCTTAAATTGTAAGATACTTTTACAACCTTTTTACTTCTGGGTTTGTGTGTCTGTCCTCACAGAGAAGGTTGACAGCATGGGGAATAGGGAAAGAGTGATAGGCAAAGTGGCAGGAGGTAAAAAGGTCAAACACAGGAAAAGGGGGTAAACTTGAAGGTCCTGAAAAACAAATACTTGCTGGAAGTCTTGTTTGATATGGCAGTTTCAATGTTATAGTTAACTTGTGGAACTGAGTAATACTACATGTAGTAATGTTCTTGATTTATGTCATGTTCCAACATGCATAATGGATAAACAGTCCTGTAACATACAAGTTTGGTTGTATTCATGAATAAAAGCAGATAGGTGGAGTTGTGCTGAAATTTTGCTTATCTGTGTTTGTATGAACTGTTCAGCATAAATACTGGTAGTTCTATTTTGAAATTTGTTATTCTATATCTGTATGATCATTGGATTTCAGGAAGAAAGAATTAAATGAATGAATAAACTACTTTCCTATGATTTGTATGAACAAGTTGTCTGAACATTTTTATGTTTGTGTTCCCTCTAAGTTGCTTGGTGTTTGAAAGATATCCAATTTTCATCTCCCATTATCAGTCAATATATCCAATCATTATGCAATATTGCATTTTGGGCATTTTTAATTCATATGTTCTCACCATTATATTTCAGACTCATAAACCCTTCTATCATATCTCCAAGCTGGCTACAAGACAGTATCAAACTGGCAGCCTAAGACAGTACATTGTACTAGTATCTAATATATAGGCCACTCGATAAAAGCCTCAAGTCAAAGCCTAAACCTCTGCTTGGAGAGCACCTTCTGTCCAGCCCAGTGATCCCATAGGCCCACCCACCTCTGTCAGAATATAGAAATACAAAACAAAAAAACAAACAAAAAAAATGCTAATCTCCAAGCAGATCTTTTGGTGGGGGAATTGTTACAGACTGGCCAATGCCTTGGATACTGTCTTCCCCCACCGAAGATCTGCTTGGAGATTGCCATGCTCTAATTGGTTGAACTGTTAATTTGATTGACCATGTCCATCTCACTGTGTGGAAGACAAGTCAGTGGTGCCCTTATAACCTCCAAGCAGATTCTGTGGGACAACGGGAGTGTACACTGTATATTGACCACCTGTAACGTGGGGCGCCTGAGGCCAGTGGATACAGGCGGCCAATATATCCTTGCCCCACAGAATCTGCTTGGAGATTAGTGCCCTTACACTTAAGCTTCTTTCTCTAGAGAAACATCTGACTGGTACCATGTGACCTGGACTTCAAGATGGGGACACTGAAAGCTGCAAACGACTTACTCATTCTGAGGCAGTTTGAGGAGGCACTGGATCTTTGCAAGAATGAATTGAAGGGCCTTCCAGATGACAAAAGGTACAAGAATCAATCATTATGTACCTTTTACTCAATGGTCATCATGACCTACCATAAAACGTTTTTTGTTAAGTTAGTCATTCCTTTGTGTAGTGAAAGTTGAAATTCATCCAAAACCAAAGTGGATCATGCTTAAATTACTGATACGTCACTCCATTTGTACATGATTGAAGAATAGCCTTCACCTGGCTTTCCTAAAGAGGTTAGGATAGTAGAATTCATAAAAATTGTGAAGAATGTGTTGTAATTGATCGACAATTAATACTGGCATATATCTGCAACACAGAAAAAATATACCTATACTCTCAATACCTCATACTCATCTTTGTATCTCATTTTGTATATAATGTTATACACATGACATGACGGTGAAAAAATTATTTGAACATCTTGATTTATTTCCAGAAATGGTACGTTGGCCGAGTCTCTGTCAGTTGTAGCAGTTCAGGCTTTTGCAGAGCTGAATCGCTGGCAGGAAGTCCTGCCATTTGTACAAGACGTGTTCGGTGGATTGGAAAAGATCCCGCCACAAGTGCTGCAGCTATGGTCAGTCAGGAGGAACAATTGACCTTCCAGTATTTCTCAATTAATCTGCACAGGAATTTTAATGTCATACAAGTGTGGCATAGTCACAGACAGTCACTTGATTTTGTGTTGAAAACTGTTAAATCTGTTTGCTTGCTCCCCTTCACTCATAGAAGCTGTGAGATAGGATTCCTTTGTAGGTGAGCTCTTGTCCTTTCATAACAGTTCTGAAATGTTTGTTTCCGCCCAGCATTGCTCTGCATTCTAAGATGCAAGACTTTGCGCCTATCACCATGGTAACAGAGGCATGGCTGGCCGCCCCCCAGAACCAGGAGGCAGGGGGCCTGACCAGGGTGGCTGAGGCCTACATCCTACTGGTCCTCCTGCCGCACAGCAAGTTTGATGACATCAGAGCCCTGGTGGAGGGCCATCCAATCATCACGGAGGACAGGAGAAAAGCCTTTCTCCAATTGGTAGAGGCTGAGGAGAGATCTCTGGAGGAGAGGGAAGGCCAGGTGTGTTGTTGGTTCATTCATTGATTGGTTCCCTACGTTATTTAACTTCCATCTTTTACGTATGTTGACTTTGCTATTTAACGTTGACTCCTACCTTAAGCATGATTTAAGAAGCAAGACATCTGTTGGCACTGTTGCTGGTGTGAAAAGATTCTGTGCTTGTATTTTCTTTACTTAACTTTTGTTCAGTTTTTTAGTCTAAAAGAATTCTCTATTCCCTTCCAGACCAGTAGTCAAGGTGCAGACTCTGTAAACAAGCAACAAGGTGAGACACAGTCTGCACGAGAACTGCAGGAAAGATGTTGGGTGTTTTGTCGATCTATGGAGTGAATATTCATAATTATATTTTTCTTTCTACTCTCTGCCTTTTTATGATGTTTGCTTGCTACCAGTATTTTTGGTGTGGCCTTACCCTGTTTGGTAGTACATTTGTATATACACTTTCTTGAATTTATCTGTCTCAGTTCATTTGCAAATATCTTTCTTTCCTCTTTGCCCTTCACAGGTGCCATGGTGACTGTGATGTCCTGGATCAAATACAACATGTTACCAACACGTCCGGCCAGACCTGTGACAATAGCAGTTCTTCTGGGAGTGATTGGGGTTGTCCTAACTCTCACACTGAAGAGAAGGAAAGGTAAACTAGACAACAACCTATGTAGATTGGCAAATTAATGAAATTCAACTAAGGACTTTGTATAGTGTTGCAAACAGTATGTGGATTGAATATTGTGAATGTAACAGTACAATGTTGTACAACACAATCGCACCAATCCAAGATGATTAATACACTGACCTTGATGGTGTTTGTATCAACATGTTTCCACTGTTTTTCTTGTCTTGATTCTCAGCTTTTCTTCAACTCCTTTGGTGATTAGTAAACCAGTTCAGTAAGTTGCAATGTATTTTTCTTCTCTGAAATGTGTATGTGATCTTCATGCTTCCTACTTATTTGGCATTATTTTCCTTAAACTTATCATGTTCAAGTTCATGTTCAAATATCTTTCTTTCCTCTCTGTCCTGTGCTCATTTTCTTCTGTACCATGTGGTAGGAAGTGGTGTGATAAAACACCTTGCAAAGAGCTTTCAGACCTTCCTTTGCAAATCTTGATTTATCCTTAGACTGATCACTAATGCTTCATTCTTACGCCATAATTTATTTCCTTGGTTTTGGGACATTATAGGTGAACAGAGCAAATGGACAGCATGAAGTCAGAAGGAAGGGAGAAAAACTTGAATATGGACGTATAAAACGATTGTACCAAGGCATTTTTCTGTCTATTTTCATAATTGTCATTGTACTTGTTTTGAATGATACATAGAGTTTGCATGACCAATTTTTTATGATACATAATTATATTCTTTTCCTGGCAGTGTCATCAGGTAGCAGACAGGACATGGCTCCCATGCTGACTACCCTGGGAGGAAAACTGGCCTGGCTGTGGCAGCAGCTTTTTGCACCTTATCACATGGCAAATAGCTAGCTAAGAATTTCACTGTACATCTGAACCATTTAGATGTATGCTGTGCAATGCAGCAGGGGGTTTCCTGTGGTTTTATAGCCTAGCTATGTAGCTAAGGCATTATGTCACCTTGTTTTCTAGTGGAGCTTAATCTTCTTAATGCAATTTGTAAGGCATAAAAATAATTCAATTTGTAGTCATGTCTTATCATTCAGAAATAAAATTTTATCAAAATTCTGATGTATAAAGTTGTTACATACATAAATTTGTGTTGGTAAGTCCAAGTAGTCAACCCTAGCCAAATCCGTCATGCAAGAACCAGTAGCGGGATGAAGAGGTAGCCTCTACCAGGCACCTCACATCACTGGAAAAATAGTAGAAGTTGGCCGAAATAAAGTATACTAGCGAAGATCCCGGGCCATAGAAGAGCCAATTCATGACCCACGTGGGTCTTCTCTGGTATACTTTATTTCGGCCAATTTCTACTATTTTTCCAGCGATCCGCGGTGCCTGGTAGAGGCTAATGAAGAAGGGCAGGCAACAGAAACAATTGGGATAATAATATCAAAGAATTGACCAACATGATACAGTGGAATGTTAAAACCTAAAAGGGTTTTCAGATCATCTGTGGTGTGTCAATGGCACTGGTTGAGTACAGGGATGGATGAGTTGAATGCGATATTATTTCATGGACATGAACTTCAGCTAAGGGACATAAATGTATGACATGTTCTCACCAGCTAGATTTTCTTTGGCTCAACTTTTTGGAGGAATACATATTGTCCTGAACCATCTCCAACTTCAACTGCACACACACACATCAAAGACTTTAGACTGCGCTCAAATCACAGCATACCATATAAAAAAACACTGGACACAGCGGTCTCCTCCAACGCCTACTTTATTGTTATAAAATAGGTTTTGTGGTCTCCCCAGCAAAGCAGACATAACTACAATATTGGTACCTGCATCCTATCGCTCCTCCATCTCTCCTTAGGTGTCCAGCTAAACTAGTCCAAAAATAATTTACAATTTTTTCTTTTTAAATCTGTGCTCAATAGTGCTCTGTAAACAAAATAAGAGCTCTGATACAGAATTCGCCTGGTACATCCTTTCCAACATACAGCACCTTCAAGGTTTTTTTTTTTTTAAGTTTTGTCCATGGCACTTTAGTAACTTCTCCAAATATGACAATGACACTGCGGTGTCTTGTGTACCTCCTTTTTGGTACATCAGAGTTTAGTTTAACACCCCCTGCCATTCTTTCCTGTGGCCAAGACTGGCAGCTGGGGTGTCAAACTGACACTTTGACCAGAACAGTTAGTTTGCCAACAAAGCAAGAATTCCAGTTGGGATGACTGACAATTAACAGTTGAAAATGGTTGACAATGCCATCTCTATATGGTGAAAGTAAAAGTAAAGTTCAAGTCACAAGTGCATTTTTCTGAAAATTCTTGACTATAATGTCATGTACAAAACGAGCTTTTCAAATTGCACATGCAATTGTTTTTCTTTTTATCATGCCAATCACCCCAAACAAAATATTTGCACTGAACTGTTTTATTTCCACCTCTCCTCTCTCCTCCAGGGGTCACTGTTTCAGGCAGGCTGGGAAAAAAGGCAGTTGAAACAGCGACCCCCTCGTCTGTCTCACAACAGACAACTTTCAAACATGGCTCCCGACGTAGCAGCCTCGCTGTCATGGCGGCGACAGCCAGGCTGAAACTTTGGTAATGATAGGCACAAGAACACATGTGAAGTCCTCCTCTGATCGCACACTGGAGCCACGTTTGAAAAACACAGATGATAAACTTTCCTGAGTACGGAGCATTTTCTGCTAGGCGCCTCCTCACTACTCCTGCCACAATGATAGTACTAGGAACTCTGCTGCCTCCACAGCGAGAAGTTATCTAACTTCAATAGGTACAATGCAGAAACACTGGTCTTCTTATCTCAGACCTTAAATGAATGAAACAATTATACTGGAGACCCCTGGGAGACAAGTTATGCAAAAGCAAAAATTACTGTACTTCAAAAGCAGGAACTCGCAAACAACATGTTGTGAATGAAGTTAGAACATTTTGTTCTGTCATGTTCAAAGAAGTATGATGCACAAGATTGCAGCATGAGTAGTTGATAGTTCTAAATTTAGAACTGTGTGGTCTAAGTGAGTACTTTTCTTCTTGGTGTTGTACGAACAATTTTTGCATATTGTCTGCAGAGGTCTCCGGTAGTGCTCTCGTCTCTCCTCCACTCATGTGTATAAATTCGTGGGGTAACAACTTCTTAAGTCTTAACTGTTGCCTTAAAGCATTACGGGTTCTTAAACAAAGGCTATAGACTGCACTGAGTACTATACTTCTACGTGTGATACATTCATACCTATCCACCTACAATCACTAAAGCATATCATACCTTCACTACAGAAAGTCAGAAAATCAAAGAATTGTCTTGGCTTCATGCGAGTGGGAACAACTGTAGAAATATTGGTTATCATACTGCATTGACAAAATCCACATGCAACTTTCCATGGTAATACTAACTGTTACAGTTTCTAAACTGCCAACTGATGCTGTGCAAATACTAACTAGTAAGAGAGAACAAAGTTGAAAAGGATTCTTTATATGAAGGATACCCACTGTTGCAAACTGTCAATCACAAACAAAAATGGCTGATGCAAAAGCAACTTCTCAGTAAACGTTGCTCTTCTACCTATTACGTCCTTTGGAGCGATGGGAGTCCTGTGGTTAGGGAGGGAATCAGGCACACTGATTCCAACTTCTGCTGAGATTAGAACTCCAAATATCCCATGTGCTATGTAGAGAATAGAATAAAAATTGTCAAAAACGAGCAGTGTTTCTCCATTGTCAACCCGAAACCACAGAAGTCCACATCCATCCAAAGGTGTCTACAAAACCTGGGGAACTCCAGGTCCGCCCTCCCCTTTACGCCACAGATGTGAAAATTAAGTTGGTTCACCGCCTCGTTACACCTGCACTTTGCAGTTAGCATCTGCACACGCATGACGTGCATGTGCACACACCTCCCCATGTGCAACGTGCCCCAAACAGTGCAACACAATCAACGAACTGCAAAATAGTAGCTGCCCCCTGACCACTCCAACTCCCCCTCCAACACTACACAAAATTTTTTGTCAAGATTATACATAGGCTGATATAATCGGTTTAACATAACATCAGGTGTTTGTAAGTTTATTTTTATTCTTATACACGTCCGTTGTGCGAGCTCTGCCGTACTGACTCCACCCTCCACAACTCTTGGGGCAGGGGTTCGTCCGTAGGAGATGCCAAAAGCTGATCCTAGGTCAGAGGTTGAATCTTCACGCAACTGAGGAGCACTCGCGAGCAAAGTGCCCCGGCTCACCGCAGTTATAACAATTGGTGCTGACGGTGGGGCAGTTGCGCGCCTCGTGACCAGGCTCGTTACATCTGGAATATAAAAATGGAAGAGACATTTTCATCACATTGGTCATTACTACTATGAAGTACTTATTGAATTATACTTTATACTGGTATAGTTTCAAAAACAACACTAACTTATGCTAGAATGCTAAGCAGAACTATGGTAATAACAAACTGTTCTGTAGGCAACAGTTTATCAACAGAATATTTAATGTATCATGTACATATACATTGTATACACTTCTTCCCTAGGCTTTAATTTTTTCTTGCACATTCTACAAGAATTAAGCTTTCTTGGCCTATTCCAATCAAACCAGTTCAAACATATTTCAAAGTACAACACAGTAACCATGCTTCTGTTGCTAATCATGAGACGGCTAACGAGAATGCCAGCATATAGGATTGTTTATAGAGGCTGTAATCCACACCATCCAGTATAAGTTAACAGTGTATACTTGCTTATGAATGTTAGGCCACACCGATTTAATTTTATGGATGACATCCTCTGAAGACCCCCAAACTAGTGCGCGCGGGCGAAAAAAAATAAAAATCCGGCCAAAAATAAAAATGCTACAAAACCACAGGAATACAAACCTGGTATTGTGAATTTGGCGCATTACATAGCGACGTATACGACAGGCCGACACATGCTGGATTTTTGCGGAATATATGAATCGACACTGCTGTACGTATGTACTGAGTTCTTGAGTCTTGGAGCTTCGGTAGCCTGGCTGCCGTCAACCAGAGTTATCACCACCATGCACTACCCAGGCCTAAAGCCAGGCCAGAGCCTCGGAATACGTGATTCTTTTTTTTTTTTTTTTTGAGATCGGGCGAAAATCAATGCGCGCGCGGATGTCATCCATAAAATTAAATCGGTGTGGCCTTACAGAGCTTGTAGAAGTGGCAAGAGTATGATAGGGTCTAGTGATGACAACTTATATTCACCAAACCCCACAAATTGTCCTTCCCAAAACAATCTGTAGCCTAGTGGGCTTGGAGGTTATTGTAAATGAACAAAGTTTGAAATCAAAGGTTTAGTTAAGAGGTTCTCTAATGTAGCTGAGTCAGTCTGTATTTGGATTGAAAAAGGAAAGTGCCCAGAAGAGCACAACAACCACAGGAACTTCTACAGTGCATGCTCACTACAGAATTAACCAGAAAAGTAGGGTTTGGGACTAACAGCACACTACTTCTGCAACAGACACTTGACATGACCTCCTTGATTTCTGTGCACGCCAGATGGTAGAGAGCCTACACTGACTGTTCATGACTAAATGAGCAGTCCAACCAATGAAAGAATGGCAATCAGCAGTTCTACCAATGAGAGAATGGTAACTAGCAGTCCAACTAATAACAGAAGGGCAAGTAGCAGTCCATCCAATGAGAGAAGGACAATTAGCAGTTTGACCAATGAGAGTGGCTGCATGTCTGCTGAATATTTGCATTTTGTTTTATTTTGCATTTCCACATTTTGATGCAAGTGGCTTGGCTATGCAATCAGTCTACTACTAAGGCCTGAATTGAATTAGATTGTCCTGTTCAACGTGGTATAAGAGTCTAAGGAAGTTAAGCTCATTCTACTTTCAATCCCAAGCCAATAACTGTAATCTTGTGCAATATTTTCCAGATTTTTGTTTTTGTTTAAAACAAAGTAACTTAGTTATTAAGTAAAGGAACCTGAGCAAATGGCTGACAATTAATGATACAATTGGAAATTGCTCAGCTAGTATTAGTAAATATAGTTTCTGATTGTATTATACAGAACAATCCAGACAGGTATAAATTCACTAAGTGACTTCCGTTTCATACCCCCAGAAAGGTTTCCAAGCCAGTATGTAACTTGTTCCTTCCTTGATCAAATGCTAAATAAATTTCGAAGCAGATTTTCTTTCAAACAGAAATCAAGGAAAGACAAAAGCGGCTAGCTGTTGTTGTGGCTGTTATAACTGCCAGGATTGGTTGGATCCGGTGATGCCTTATGGCCAGACATGGCTCATGAAGGTAGGAAGCAAGAGCAATGAGTCGTCAGACTGGCCTACAGAACTCTCCAAGTAGTAGAATTGCCCCTTTGCAACATACTAGTTGCTGAAGTGCTGTTATGGCCAAATGGAACATTACTCGTGCTGTCTTTCCTTCATGAACTACGTTTGGTCGTCAGGACAAGTTTCCTGTACTGAGCATGGATGAAGTTGTTGTCTTCACCTGATCTTGTTCCTTATTCAAAGGGCAATCACGGGCAAAGTGGCCGCGTTCCTCGCACCTACGGAACCAAGACAGAAGGACAACATGTTTTTTTTTACACACTAGGATATTGTCTAGGGGAAGGGGGCTGCAGAGATTTAAGAGTTTGTTTTTCTTGAGCTAATCCATTATGAGAAATGATTTGCAAGAATCTGGTAAAATACTATCTTAATTGTGTGATATTTCCTTGTCATATTTAAATATTTAGCTCTTCAATTTCTAAAGCCATGCAGTTGATGCTCTGTGATTACATTTACCTTAGACACGAAGTCCTGTCATCACCATTATGGGAGCAAATCTTTTTCAAGATGAGGAATCTCATGTTATAATCTTGCTCTATAGATAATTACCATAGATAGTCTCATCATAGATCGCAAAACCGGGATTTTTCACAGTTTTTGTTGGATGTTTGATCAATGTTACATCAGCAATTTGCCAGTTGCAGGTGGTATATTTTCCGACAACACTTGAAAACTACGGACTGGATTCTCATGCTTGAATACAACCTTAAGAAATGTTATGCACAATACATTACAGGTTTTGGACAGGTGCAATACATTGTGCCATGTGCTCTCACAGAGGCCTGATGTTTTCATGCCACAGGAACAAAAATAAGATGTCTTCGTTTTTACTGCTTTATTGCCTCCCAAAATACTATCATTGAGGGTCAATTATAAATCAGCAAGAGTTATCAATTTTCATCCTGTACACTTGTACTGTATGCTTAGTTTGTCATAATTATGTCATACATTCTTATTACTGCATTATTCTTAACGTAAGTAGCACATTTTTCTAAAGACAGAAGGTTTTCTGTCTTGACACAAATGCTAGATCCCTTTCCTTTCCAACAAGCCAAAGTTACTCCTGAAAAAGTGTAACTGATTTACAGCAACATCATCACTATGTAACATTCTATGATTCTGGGTGTCAATGCATTTTTAGAGTTTCTCAACTTTTCCTGTCTGGATATTTTGTGTCCATTTCATGAGCACGAACTTTCTATCATTTTTTATGCCTTCTCAGTCTTAATAATTTTTGTTGTAGGTTTGCTTGTTGGTTACAATGGAAGGTGAGAGAAGACTCCTTACTTGAAGCACTTGCCAGCGCTCCTGGCCTCGGGGCAGTCCCTGGAGATGTGGCCAGTCTCCCCGCAGTTGTAGCAGCTGCGGCCGTCACCGCCGCGACGTGGCCGGTTGTCCCGAGACATGTTGCACTCCCGAGCCAAGTGGCCGATTTCCCCGCAGTTGTAGCACTCCTGCGACTTTGCGGTGTTGCTGGGGCAGCTGCGAGCGATGTGGCCAGGCTCGCCACAGGTGTAGCAGCAAGCTGTGATGACATGGAGAATTTGTTACTCTGAATGTGCACAGAACATAACTAAACTAGGGCACCAAAGTGTCCCATTTGTGGAGCTGTTTTATTAAATATCTATTAATGTCGGCAATTTTCTTCTCAGGGTTTCATGTGGGGGCTGGCTTGAAGTACCTGACAGAGGGGAGCAAGGGGCCAGTACCAGCCTGTGCATATAGGCAGGTACACAGGCAGGTTTGATGTGCCTCTTCTGGTCTTATTTGAGGACTTTCTACCTCCCAATTCCCCTGCAAACCAACTCCTATCTAACAACTTACGCTCATCAGACATCTGTTTGGGGCAGTCGCGGGCGATGTGGCCTGACTCCCTGCAGTTGTAGCACACATCTGTAATGATAGAGAAAGAGTAAGATGAATATTGTCTCATATACTACTTTCACAACAGTTATGTTTCATGCTGTGTCAACACATGACAAAGACAGTGGATGGTACAGTGAAACAGGTGCAAAACAGTTTTGTACATTAAAATAGTTAATATTCTTGCAATTCTAGAGGTTGTATAGTTGTTACATGTGCACCTGTCACACACACACAGAAATGTGGGATTCATTATATATTATATACAGTGTGTAATGTTTTGGGTTCCCAAATTGCATTCATCTTATCCAACAACCTGTACCATGTATTGATGGCTCAACCTTTCACTTCATCTAAAACGAAAACGCCCAAAAGTACTGTAGCCTAAATAGACATTTCACAGAAAAATTTAATTATCAACCAGGAACTTTTTCCTTTCAGTAAGTCTTACCGTCAGGTGAAGTACAATCCTTGGCAATGTGTCCCTTCTGATTACACCTGAAGCAGCGATCTGGGGGTAGAAAATTATGTCATTTGTATAAAACAAGGTTTGCAGTCTGTGCAACTTTCTTCACTACATCATGTAATACAATGCGGCAAACTTGTATTACAAGCTTTGTATTACATGTATCCAGCATCATGTACAGTCGGTTAAGCTGTCCAAGTAGACCACAAGTGGTCACAGTGGCCAAATGGTCCTTATATAGAGGTGGTCACCTGTAAAGGTTTTGACTGTATACTATTCAGTGTACAATATACTTTTTTGAACCAGGTTGCCGCAAAAATTAGGTTGCGCATCAGAATTTTAGGTTGCCCCACCTATAAGTTACTACTTTCTTCAAATTAAGTAATGTTACATACATAAGCCTTTGACAATATTTATAACAGCCTTTAGTTAACTGATACTAGTAATAGCCATTAATACCTAAAATTAAAAAGCATCTGCCGGATACAGTGGTGCAAGCCAAGTGGGCATGATTTTGGGGAGGGCATTCTTTAAATTCAGGTAGCACACTGGGCTACCTAGGTTCAAAAACCCGGGGCAACTGGGCTACCAGATATTTTGCACGCTGCTATTACAAAATTACTGAGCTATGATGACAATGTTTACTGCTTCAGTACTGTAGCATTGCGGTGGGACGTCAGATCACCACTGAGCGAAGAAACCTCACCTTCCGAGCGCCTGCCACGGAAGCCACCACGAGATGGGCCCCGCCTGGGTCCACCGCCGCCGCGACCGCCTTCCGAGGGACATTCCCTGGCGAAGTGGCCAATCTCGTGGCACTTGTAACACTCCCTGTCACTCATTCTGAGGGCAGTCAGCACTGGGTGGAGTGGAGGAAATAGCATTATTAGAAGATTCACCATCACCGTTATTATATGCACAATCAACAGAATATCTCTTGGACTTCTAATTTTCATCGAACCCAGCGTTGTCTTTCAGATTATGGTGAGACAAGCCCTTTTCATGACAGGAAGCAAACACTGAAAGCTTATGGCCCCTGCATGCCCTGTTTTGTGAGGCGTAATCAGGTCTTTTCAGTCTTCATAATTTATGGGCAGCCACCCAAAATTAATGCAATTCAAGCCTTAAGATCTTAAGTAATTTAAAATCAGCTCTGAGAAGTAAACATATTCCTTAATTGGTGGAGAAAAATTTGAGCAATTAATTTGTAATCACTGCCTACTCCCATGCTGGGCCCCCATAATAATAATTTTGGTGGTTGGACAGAATGTTGGTGACAGGTGTAACTGTGCTGTCATTGATGGTCATTTCAAGCAATGTAATGGTCACTTGTATTGTTTGTAAGTAACACATGCACAACTTCTTGTCATCCCATTTTTAAGGGGGTCAGCAGTACAAAAGATGAACATTTCTTCCATTTTTACTAGGTTTCACTGAGTTCCAAGAACTAAACCAGGCTAGCTCTAGAAGATCAACTGGTACTTATCATAACCATCCAGAAATTCACTAACTTCAATCACTATAAATCTATGACATAATTCATAGCGGGGCAATACATGTAATTTTGTTTTTTTTGGCGAACGATTCACCACATATGGGTGGGGGCCTCCAAGGGGGGGTCCCGACAACGCTCTACGCTAAATTTTGAGAGCTGGCTACGTATTACGCTGAATTCCGGACGCCTCTCTACGCTCTACGCTAAATTCGAAAGATTCCGCGAACGCACTATGCAGAACTCAATCACCTAGCAACTGCATGTTTGCGTGAAAACCTTTTGATTTATCACATGTAGAGGTGACATAACTTGAATTAAAAGTAGTAACCGGCGGTCACTTTCTTATACATTGAAAGTATAGAATACAAAACGGGGTATTCAGTACTAGTATTTACCGCAGGTACCAACTTGACCACGGGTCGATCGCCCGAAGATCGGAAGGCGATCCGTAAATGGAGGTAACATGGCCGTAGCCAGGATTTTGAAGGGGGGGGGGCAACGAGCGCCGTAGGCGAGCGCCGAAGGCGCGAGGTTCCTAGGGGGGTCCGGGGGCATGCTCCCCCGGGAAATTTTGAAAAATGAATCTTCTGAAATGGCATTTCCTGCGTTTTAGAGGGTTTCAAAGAAAAAATCAGAGATAACTTTTTCAATGACAAAGTGAGCAGTTTTCCTACGACGGATTCCAGCCTTGCTGGTGACACGAATCAGTCCGTCTTTTAAAGAAAAGTCTTGGACCTTTAGATAAAAAGTGGACCAAAAAGTGGACCTTTGAGCCTTGTGGGGTTGTCGTCCGAAGGTAGAAAAGGCCGCAAACAATACAGCGTAATTTGTCAAAACGACTCAGCTGCCGAATGCTGACGGTCCCGCGTTACCCGTCACCCGCACAATGACGGGGATGACATTGCTCTTTTCGGGAGTGTCCTCCATCACCCTGGCCGTTGATCAGCAATGATGTTCCCGCTAAGAAACGTCTTGAGGGCCCCTATATTGGGCATTACAAGTCATGTGGTTCTAAGGCCTTCATCTGTGGCCATCTGTGGCGTTTGGCCAATGGTCCTCCTGTACGTCACCGATGGTAAGGTCAATCTCGTACCCAGCGCACTGTGGGATCATTCCCATGTGTTGCCTTGTTCTTGTGTATGGCTCTGGGAACAAGTCTAGTGGATTGTTCGATTATATAGAAGGGGATAGAGCAAGAAAGACCTCGAGCGCCGCGACAACCCGGAACTTGCGAGGCCTCGAGTTCCCGTTTGCGGCTTGGATTACGCTCTACGCACAATTAATCGATTACGCTTTACGGTTAATTCCCGATAGCTACAACGCATTACGTAGATATAACACAGCGAATTACGCTCTTCGCCAAATGCGCCAATTACGCTCTACGTTGAATTAGAGGGTCCGTCTACGCTCTACGTAGAATTAAAACGGCCGATTACGCTCTACGGAAAAGGGCTTGGGGGCCCCCATGGGTCCGCTGGGCTTTTGCTAGAAAGGCTTCGAATTTGATAGTTGGCCACCCACATAAATTATAATTTTATACTCCCCTCCCCCTTTCAAATCATGCCCTCTTATTTTCCACCATGGGTGTTTGTGTCAACACGCGGTAGTATGAAAACGGAGCCATCTGTGGAGGGCGTGGGTTTGTTCACGTATGGACTCTGCCTTGCGGTGGGAGGGGCAGAGGACGCGGCGAGGTTCCCGCCATATGGCAACCGTCTTTCCGTTCTAATCTACGAACCGCAGAGCCTGAACACATACGCCAACTTTGTCCTCGGTACGCTTAGAAAGTCAGCGCACAAGAATAATTCACCTGTGTGAGAAATACACCAGGAAAATCGAGGGAAAAATAAGATGAAGACTGAAGTAGATGACGCTACTTTCGGGGAAAAAAGTCGTCAGTTCCGGTCAGCGACCTTTGACATCCCGACCGAAAATTGGGATTATACCAGACATCAGAGCGAAACGAAACAATACAAGTTGCACTAAGTGGCCTCAGTGTCTTCTGTAACGTTTCACCGGAGAGAAAATGACGGATTGGCGGTCTAAATGAGTGAAAATCTTACCTGTTCGCCACGGACTGAGAAAGTGCGTACCACCACTTACACGTGTTTTGCACACGGCACGACTGTGGTTCTTTGGGTGCCGTGTGCAGAGCACATTTCGGGCTATGACGTCGGCCGAAAGTCATCTGGATGAAGCAAACGGTGTCCTCATCCGGCCAACTAGTATCATGGGTATACCTCCATGCTAGTATCAAAGTTTCTGGCATGTTCATTAAATGGCATGTAGTAGAGTGAGGACCTATCACATGATTCCTGACCTCTGACCTCGCAACCAAACAAGTGCGACAAATCAGACAGATGCCAGTATACGCGTATGCGCATTTTAATGTCGCAGGTAGGATTTAAACCAAGAACCAAGGAGCTTCAAGTTTGAAGTTCCTTGGAAGAATTGATGTAAGGGTCAAGCAACGGCGACGCTTACCGTCGGTTTTTTGACTGATACTTTGCTTTTGCAAATTTTAACATTATTGGGCTTGTTGTTGAGAAAAAGAAAAACTTCATTACTTTCTTCAGTGTAATAACTGTTGAGGCTGGACAGACTGGAACACCTAATCTCTATTCTATATATACTATATCTATATTAAAGCAGATCCTAGGGGAGGCCAAGACAGTATCAAAATGGCCAGGCAGTATCGATACGCCACACAAGGTTCTTTGCCGTGTATGAGCCGGAAGGAGACACCTGTTTGTTTTACACGGGGCACAGCGGGGGTTGGGTCTGACGGTAATGATGCATAGCTCGAGGTGTGCAGCTATTGATTGGTGTAGCCTCTACCGGGCTTCAGAAGCGGATGGAAAGCTAATAATAGAAATCGGCCATGTCTATAAACAGAAAAGATGCCAGGGGAGTTAATCCTTCAATGGACTATCTCCCTAGTCATGTGTATCAGTAGCCTGGATGCCAGACCCATAGCACACTTAGTTATCCCATGGAGATTAAGTACAAGTTTAAACCTCCTTGGTTATCCAGTGTGCACACTGAATATTACTTTGGGCCCAGTGTGCTACGGGTCTGGCATTCAGGCTACCATCTCCCATGGCATGTTATCTGTCTAGTTGGCCGATTTCTACTTTGTCCGCTGAGCCGTTTCTGAAGCCTGGGAGTATTAGAAAGTCTACTAGACTAGACTACTATTGCAAACGCCAACCCCTGCAGCTAACTTGAAACCATTGCTGCATCACCAACAGCTGACCCACTGCTCAGCCTGACCTGTAGCCTTTAGAACTATTGTGTCCATGAATACCTGGGGCACCGCGAATGTACATACAGTTTCCAAGGAACGGTAATCAACACTGGTCGTCTTGGGTTACCGCTCACCTGGACAGACCACTTTCGCCAAGATTTTGGGGTGTAACAGCAAAAGATTGTGATGTAACCTGCAATTGCCTGTGGTTTTAAGAAAGCTACACCATGTTTCATGTTTACCGCAAGTGTTTTTATTTCTAAAGGTATTCAAATTTCGGTCGAAAATAGAATGTAATAACTAATGTTTGATTGGTGTAAAAACCGAGTCACACACCCCACCCCCTCGGTAAAAATAAAAAGTCCCTTCCCATTGACATCTTAGTAAGTTGTTTTAAGGTCAAAGTACGCCCTGGTGAAGTACTCCCCTGGGAGACTACGCACTTGTCGAGTATCCAAAACTTTCCAGCTTTGTTTTCTCGAGTATTGTCGATCTCATTCTTTCAGACTGCAAGTCGTTCAGCACGGCAAAATGGCTGACACTGGTACCTATGAGGACGAATTCGAGAAGGAGACCGGTGAAAGTGCGTCCCAGCCCGCGGTGGGAGACTCTAAAGTGCCCGAGACGACGGGAGTCAACAAGGCGTCCCCTGGTGACGGCGTGTCGGGCCCGCCTGTAGCGGACGGAGATGTTCCCGACACGGCAGGTGAGAAGAGTAAAGGCGTGGACGAAGCGGACTCGGGAGCTATATCGGATGAGCTGCTTGAAGACGAGATGGAAGCAACAGTGAGTCTGAGGGACTCCGGGATCGGGCTGGAGCCACAGTCGCCCAGTCCCACCACAGAAGAACCCAAGCCTCAAGTTGCCGAGGTTCCTGTCGAGGACACAACCACGCAAGCAGAGCCGACTCCTGTCGACTCTCAGCCAGCTGAACCTTCTGTAGAGGAGCCGAGTTCTTCCAACAACGACACAACTTCTCCGACTTCAGAGACGGTACAAGATCCTGCCTCCAAGACTGACACCGAACCACCGACTCAACCCGATCTACAGGCAGAAAACGACGGTCTGAAAGAGCAGCTGAAAGCCATGAGGGGAGACTATGAGGAGAAAGTGGGCATCCTGGAACTCCAGCTTGACGGGGAGAAAGAGAAAGTCGAAGAACAAGCCAGAAGGATCAAAGAACTGCAAAAACTGCTGAGGAAACAACAAGACGACGAGCTGGCGTCTCAGGGAAGCGGAGGGGACATCAAGGAGAAGGCGAAGGCAGCGGCGTCCCTAAAGTTGGAGAGAGACTTTCTGGTTCGGCAGTACAACGAGGGGAAGACCACAGAGGAATGTTTGCGGCAAACCATCACGGACATGTTAGAGGAGAAAGAAAAGGACGAACAGAAAATCAAAGACTTGGAAGTGAGGTTGCAGAGAGCGGCCAAAGATCACGAGGCTAAAGACAAGAGGATGACTCAGTTACAGGCCGAGCTACGTGACGTCACAGCGCTGGTGACGCAGTTAGAGGAACACATGGACAGAGTCAAGGTCGAGGAGGCGCGGAGGAAGATTCAAGCCACCAAGACACAGACTGGGACAGATTCGTCTGTAGCAAACAGTGAAAAGTCTACCGTTTGTACCATCTTGTGAGAGCTGATCATGAGGAAACTTAGAGATATATATTTATTTTTGTATTCTCACGATGAAATGAGTTTTGACGTTGTCACTGTAAATACGTAACAATAATGATCATTGACTTAATTTAATAAGATTTTTATCAGTATGGTGCTTTGTATGAAATATTTTCTAAACACACATTTCACTATGTAGGCATGACCCAGGACTTGGTATGTTCTCGTGTGAGCCTCCATACGCCTGCTTGCACACGTACATGTGAATCGAAGTCCATTTTTAGAAAAAAATATTATTTCTTTAAAAATGACGCATCATACGTGGAAACAGGTATCGTTGTTTGATGTACAAAGGAGGTTGTGTATGCAGAATATTATAGAAAGAGAGTGTTTATATCATTAGAGGCCGAATGGCTAGACGATTGCGTGAATATACAGTCGTCATTCTGTTTGTCCATTGTGTGTTAACAAAAGACTCTTTAAAAGCTGAGGATCAGATTTCAGGGAGAACACTTCCGAGATTATCCCTATTCACAACTATCGGGAAAGTAGGAAAAACAACCTTTGAACGAGAAGCCCATTGTAGCAGTCTATAGAACCGGTACAGGTACGACAAAGGACTGCCCTTTTCCCGTCAAATATCTGTTTGTCCACGCCTGGTTTGATATTTACTTCAACAACAGTTTCTGTGTTTAACTTGTCCAACATGGCAACGCCCTGGGCTGATTCAGAAACTGCTGGGGTTGGGATGGATGAAAACTGCGTTAGTGTTGCTGTCCTTTATAACATTTATTAAGTGTTAAAGATGTAACAAAACACTCAATTGCAAATCGCGAAAAATCGTTTTCCTGATGTATAAAATTCGCAAATAGATAAACTGGTGAATGGACCAATTTCTACTCTCCCCATTCTACTTTCTCCAGCCGCTTCTGGGGCCTGGTAGGGGCTATGCTAAAACCACTTTCATGCATTACAAGTAGTTAACGGGAATTTCGAGGGGCGTTGCTCACGCACCGACACGCTAAAGATTTCCATTCATTTATCAAGTTTCAAGTTCGGAACTATTCATCAAAACAGTAGGCACAGACTGAGAGGAAAAACAGCTACCTAGGATTCTGGCAATTCGATATAATACGGATTTGTTCCTGTGGTAACCAACACATAACGGCTAGTTTTCGCCTGATTTGAAGCAGCTGTTCACATTCCATGGGATCGTCTGGTGTTATAAAGTTTGGTACTGTTTGCATATAGTTATATGGTATATATGGTATATTTGCATTGTAAATACACAGAAATAAGATAAACTTTATTTGAAACCAAGTGAGAGTCACAGTGAGTTCAATACAACAGTATTCAGTATAATACAGTAATATAATGTCTTAGGGTACATGTGACAAAATACATTATATCCGGATCCTGTATGTATTGCAACCACAAACAGCATGAAAGCATTCAAAGAGGCATATGAAAGCAAACAATGTTGATTTACCGGGGTATGCTCCCCTTGAGTGAATAACTGCACACACTTCTCTGCTTACTACAAACACGGTCTTTTCTCCCTGTGTTTACCTGTTTGTAGAGTTTCTGGGACATGCTAGTCTTATACACTAACAGTGCCAAACTCCAAACACTCTACCAAAGTGCCAATGTAGTACTAGTGTAATGGGGTCCCAGCACCACCAACAGACCAGTGTAACTGGTCCAGACTTGGTTTGTGAGCTTTGAGGTTCAAATCCCGGAAGCCAGGAGACTGTACTACTCATCCCCTAGTGCTTCACCAGTTCTATGCATTGGGTCTGACAAGTTACCATGCACCTGTGATGGCAGCCAGGCCTGTCCTGGTTTGAAATGATACTCAGACCATGTACAAACACACACTCACTTCACCCCGTGAGCCATTTCTTTCTTTTCTATAAATACTGAGCAAAGCCCTATCTAGGGCATCCCGCTCAGGGTGCACGGCTATTGCGGCCGGTGGGGTGTGGTGAAGAAAGTGCATGAAAACAAACAAACGAACATAAATTTGTGAATTTTGTGACTGGCCGCAATAAGCGATCCCGACTTACATCTGTGGGACGGGGTGGCCCAAGTGCAGGGCCAACCCCGTCTTGAATGTGTCGACAGATAGTTGTGTCACTAAGTGTTGTGGTAATGCGTTCCATTCTATTATAGTTCTTGGGAAATAACTGGCTCTGAAAATGTTTGTTTTGCAACTGAGAGTTGTGTATCTAAGGGGGTGGCCCCTTGTAGTGTTAGTGTTCCTTGTAATGTAATGGTGTATTGGTATGGAGACTAGATTGTGCACTGCTTTGAAGAATAGGACTAATCGTGGTTGTTGTGAGATGGGCTGATATAATTGTAAACTGATAAAAATGATGTATGAAATATGTATATGTAGTGGCCATCGAGGACCCCATGGGGATTAACACAATTCTGCAGAATTCTTCCCAGTTCCCAGAATTTCTTAAG